AGCCCTCCCCGCCATCACTGAGCCCGATACTGACATGATCGGGTCAGTCGAAATTGTTGGGGAAATTCCTCAACCACCCTCCGTCCCCCACGGGATTGGAGAATCATCCAAACCACCTCCGACCGTGTCAAAACCGTCGGAAAATGCTGCACCCATAGCAGCGTCAACATCAACGTCGCAGCCCAAAGCTGCCACGAAAGCAGAGTGTTCCCTCGAGCTCCGACCAATTGTCGAAGCTGAACAACGACGCGCCGCCGAAATAGCGGCAAATCTGGCCCTCTGCTCCGCCGCCATCTCTGGCGTCGAAGCCACCCTCCTCCCTTTGACCAACGGGTCAAATAGACAATTCGTAGACTCGATGAGAGTCTACCTACGCGCCGCCATTGCGCAATACATGGCCACGGGCCCGGCCATCACGCCACCCGTTCTCCCTCCTCACCCGACGAACCCTCTCCCAAGGGCTCCCGACGCCAGGAGCATGCCAATTCCCGCCGTCCTAGCTCTGCCTGTCAAAAGCACCTGGGCCACGGTGGCTAGAAACGGACTACGACAGAAAGTAGTCTCAACTGCAAAGGCTGTACCGCAACCTGCGGCAAAAGCCCAACAAAAAGAAACCTCCAAGGCGAAAGTCGACAAGCGACTGTTCCTTCGCCTTGAAAAGGACCACCCGTGGCGAAAATTGTCCACAAGCAGCGTGAGAACTAAGTTAGAGTATACATTCAGCTACTTAAACCAAGAAATAACCTCACTCCACCGAGTGAGAACGGGCTTTGCTATGCTAGCAAAGAACGAAAAAATACGACAAGAGACTTTAGATGGCTCTTCGAAGCTGGCGAGTCATAACGTCAAACTCGAGGCATCTTCGGATCTTGTCGCCTTACAGATACCGAACGTACCTGTAAGTATAGTTACAGTGTGCGGTACCAGGGCGGTCGATGCTAGCTGGGTCTCTGCCAAGATTCTCGGTACGACCGGCGCGATACCAATCCAGGTCCGACCTCATGGGACATGTCGACCTGGGGCACCGTATCAGAGCTGGCATGCCCTTTTCACGCGGGACAACGCCCCTCGTGCGGGCTTCCGCCTCTTCGACGAGTCTGGTATGGCAACCATTCACAAGCCTCGTCGACAAATTGAACAGTGTAAACGCTGTTTGGGCTTCCATGCCACTCGTGGTTGCTCCCGCGCTCCAGCCTGCTGGAACTGCGGCTCCAACATGCACTCGGAAGCCGAGTGCAAGGCCCTCACAAAGTGTCGCAACTGTGGGGGACCCCACCGATCGGATTCTCGGGAATGCAAAGTCAGACCCAGAAAGTCTGGACCGGTAACAAAAGAGCAGCTCGCATGGATACGCCACCTCGAGCAAGGGAAGTTCGCGGAGGCGGCTCGAGCTAGGGCTGCAGCCAAAAAGGCCGAAGAGGCGATCGTCGCCACGGCAAAGGATGTCTCGATGGCCGAGGCAACAGGTTTCGGAGTGCTGGGATCTGAAGAAGAAGTTTGAGGACACAGCAACCTCGACGATGTCCCCTTCTGGAGCATCCACTAACAATTAGCAGGATACCGGCTGGATCAAAGGTGCCTGCTAACTCATCTACTGCTCTCAGCGGAGATTAAGTAAATTTGTCATTTGGAAGGTGTGACGGACGAGGGAATGTGTGAGGAGCACATTGACTGGGTCCAACATGGAGGAATCTTCTGGTTTTTTCGGAGTTGTTTTGATTTTCTTGATATTTCGTCTCTGTTTAATCAGCTGCACTTTTGGTAGCGATTCACGAGGTTGGAACGAGTTAGGCTGTAGGAAAGATTACAGGGAACCCTGCCGGCTTCGCCTGTCCTTGACCCAATGTGGAAAACATAGCTTTAGCTTAGGACAAAATAAACAAAACAAACTGGATTACAAGGTCAAGTGCCGCTTTTCCCAGTGTGTAAAGACTACCCGACGTGCCAGCGCCCAAAAGAGCCCAGAAAATTTAATGTGAGGCCCAGCCATAGCTCAACACCTCGGAAAATTACAAGAATCTTGAAGGGTCGACTGCCTCTGCAATTTTGAGTCCTTCATTTTAACCACTTCCAAAGCTTCCACGACCCAGCATTCATTCCATCTTTGCTCGCAGGCTTTGATTTTGGCACAAAAAATTCATACTCAGTAGCCTAAGTTTGGTGTCCTGCGATTACTATCCGTTGAAAACATTGTCTGAAGTGAGGGTCGTGGGTCATATTGTGGCTGTTTCAGCATTAATGAGGGACTTTAAAATTGCTTGATATATCGAGAGGGTGTGCGATATTCAGCTTAAAAAAATATCAACCTGAAATGATATTGGCTTGAATGGTCTTGGTTATTTTCTTGGTAATTTTTGTAGTCGAAAAATCTCCGCAATCCGGGTGTTCCGACCAAAATCAACCCAGCATTAGTCCTTCTGACAAGACTCTCAGGCAGGAAACAATCGATCCAACTAATGGGCGATGGCTAAATCTTGGACCTAGGGAAATATTTCGCTCCCATATTCGCAGAGTACACTGCGTACAAGTGTTTTGTCTCAGCTCTCTTTTTCACCAACCATCCGTGTAGTGTGGCATGCAGGGCCAAGGAAAGTAAAAAGAGAATTGATATATAAGATACCCACGACTACTAAAAATACTAGAAAATTACTACCTCAAGATGCTGGCTACAGAGTTGTCAGGAAGTGTGTGGGATTTTTTGGTTATTTAAATATACTTGTAACTCTTTCTCGGAAACACTCAACCAAAAACATAACAATCTTATCACTCGTCTACTACTACCACATCAACAAAGTCAAGCTAAAGTCTGAAGGAGTTTGATGTAGCGATAGCTCTACAGGGTACGAAATGAGATAGTCGGTGGATTAGAGATCAAACGACAATACCTGAGGTGAAAGCTTCACTGAGAGAAGTAGAGGAGCCAAAGGAAGTAATGCGATATAATAATCTTCCCGAGGAAGAAATGAGGTTTAGAAGTAAAAGTGTATTAATTTTCAGAATACGTTGCGTGAGGTCAGAATATCACAATGCTACGTTTTCTTTCATACCTAGCTCAATCCAAAGCCGACAAAGACGAATTCATCACCTTCCGGTGGTGCCAGTATAATCGCTCAGTATTCTCTGCATATCTGGGATAGCCAAAAATAATCGCAACCAGATCGAGATCTAAATCAACCTCAAACACATCTCCATTTGACGACTTCTCGACAATGCCTCTCATCATTATCATCTGAGTCCTCAGCCCATCTCTAACCATGCATCATCTCGCCTCAACGACCAATAAAGAAGTTGCTCCAATTGCATACACGAGCTTGCCCCATTAATCTCCAGCCATCTCTCACTACATATTTACAACGCTACGTATACCCGCAAGGAAGAAATTAAGACGAAAAATACAACGCCTGGGTCTTGGCCTATGGGGGGCTGTTGCTCTAATGGGACAGATAACTTCAGGGAGAACAGGCGGCTGAGATGTGGAGCGCGAGGGGGAACAGGTCTCTGAAGACTATGCTAGGACCGATATATTCGAGGGGTTTTCGACTTTGGAACGTCTGTGAGCGCCAAGACCGAGATTTCGGCTAAATACCCAGGAGGGCTTCTATTTGTGCCGGAAACCGAGTTGGTGAAGAATAAATCGATTTAATAAACTATATGAGGAGAAAAGCTAATTTTAGCTACTACTAATAGGTATTTATAAGAGTTAATCCCCCTCGTGAATCTACAGACTAGTGACTTGTCCTTAGGCACAATGCTTCTGACCCAGCCTCGTATTTCCAGGTGTCACTAAGTTGTAATAACGCTTCAGCCTTCTGACTAGTAGTGCCGTTTCGTTCAGCTTCATCTCCCCCTCATACAGCCTCATAGTAAGAATTCTTAGTAACAGGCTTAGGTATCCACCTAAGCTCAAACAACGGTCAAACCGTAACACTATTGTCATGGAGTCAACGGCACAAAAGAAGCTAGGTTAAGCTGCCATACAGCAATCACGCTCTGTCAAGACTTTTCTGACATTTCAGCACGACCTTCGGGAAGGAGTTGGAAGGAGGCTAGAGAGGCAGATGGTGAATTTGCCGAGGTACCCGCAAGTCTGCAGCGCCCAGCTGGCCGGCCTCTTCGAACGCTTCAGAAGGGTCACTATGTCTTCGGATCTAGTCCTAATTTCGGTATTAGGAGAGCTCCGCACCCAGTGGTTTGTGCGATTTTTCCCGGCTGCCATACACCCGCGAACAGCCATCGTTTCGCTAGCTATAAATGGGAGATAATGAAGGACTAAGGGCTCCTCTAAGTGTGTGATCGAATGAAGGCTTGTGAGTAGTGGTACTGCTGAGGGGAGCTATATGGGAGGCATAGGAGGTGATATACCACTGGTATAGACATTCTTGGCCTGTAGGCAGAGAGGACCTGCATGTCCTACATAGTCATAGACTCAGATAGGACAATAAAATGGATAAATAATAATAATAACTCAATCCAAATACCCATCATGCTTTCCATAATATAATGAATTTCATGATTTCATCCTCTCCCAAGGGCTGGATGGTGCAGTGGTACACCATTCGGGCTGTACTCCCAAGTAGAGCTGGGCAGCCTGAACATCAACCCTAATTGAGGTAGGAGAAAGCTGGTTCAAACTCAGTAAGACCCACACATCACACCCTCTCGCGATGATATTGTACTTGTGGGATGATGAAAGCACACTCGGATAGCCAAAGGTTTTTCACGCTTTTCCCTGTGGTGGGTATGCACGGAAGAGGTTATACGCCGTAAGGGTTACCATCGAGTGGTATCTGCAAATGAAATCTGAGTGTGAGGGTTCTAAGTGTCAGATTGAGTCATCCTACCTACAGAACATATCTTCCGATAAAACCTGCATGGGCCTCAAGGCGCCAAATCAGGACAACTTAATAATTTAATAAATTATTTATACTCTCCGCAACTCAAGGATATCGTATACGATCTATTAATTAATGCCTTAAACACACAAGCAATATTATTCCGATCTAGATAACGTCACCACGAAGAGAATTACAGAACGTTACTTGACTCAAATATGAAGCCCGAAGACAGTGCATCTTCATCTCTACTATCAATAACTCATCATGATGGTTCGATCTATGGAATTAAGCCACTGCGTTGTTTAATGGATCTAAACGAAAATATGAATTCGTGTAAAAGATTTAAGGAATTTGGAAGTTTTTTTAAGTCGGTAATTAAATGGGAATTGATGTTTTTTCTTTGGAGTGCTACTCTAACGCGTCGTCTCCTGTATTCTACGTCCTCTGCAAATACTAGAACTAAGCCCCCACCCTGGCCATCTGAGAAAAGTCCTTCTCCCCGGCTCCCTTATTCTCCAGTACCATACATCTCATCTGGTGCGTAACCCTTTAAATGCCTTCTTCTGCGCAGCCTTCGCATTTCTAGAAGCGCTGCTCTGTTGCAGCTAACCTAACTGGATGGAGTGATCGTACTGACTGGTATTAATCCGGGAAAAGCCCGTCACTAATAGATATTAACTAGAAAATACTATGCTATAATTCATGGATCCATGCAGCCTCACCTAGATTTGATACAAAACAGTAATATAAACAATTTACTTCTAAGGAATTACAAGAAGCCTCTTTGGCGCAGTGGTAACGCGTAGCACTTGTACGAAACAACAAATGCTAAGATCACAGGTTCGATTCCTGTAGGAGGCACAGCTTTTTGGAAAGGGGGTGACGCATGGAGAACATTTTGTGGTCCGGTATTACCGTGAGAATTTTGTCTCATTTCATTGACGAGTCTGTGTGCCCCTGCTAGTACAATCTACGAATTCGGGCGCTAAGATCATGCAAGGCAGGGCTTTGTGGCAGAAAATTTGAGAATACGTACCTCTCGAAACTTGTCTGAAGCTCGTTGTCATTGACGAGGCTCAGCTGCTTGTCTAAGCAAACATATACCGTAGTGGTGTTTACAAATGAAATCTAGAGCACGAGTGACTTTAACGTCAAAAAAGGCATCCCACATGTATTAATAATACTGATCACGTGTCGTGGCTAGATAGCTGAATACATAATAAATAATATGAAAAAAAGACGTACCACATCCGATTTGGTGGATGGAGGTGGGAGAAGATGATTTGGGCCAAGTGTCACCGAACTGATCAAAATCAAGGTTTTGATGTAGAAATTAATCTTTTGTTAGGTAACATCGGGAGGTCCAGGTGAGGCGCAGAGCGGCAGACACAGAAATTTGGGATTTTTCTTTTTCTGGTTCACATCTAATTGGAAATGATGTGAGAATTGAGTCTCTGGGGATCAACTGCGCGAGTTATGCTGACTTGGACGCATGATTCGTGTCGAGCACCTTCGATCGGTAACGGTGGTTGCGAATGAAATGCGCATTATGAGTATCTCAGAAGTCAAATGGTCTATTACACAGCACTAATCATGTATCATAGGTAGATGGCTATAATTGAAATGATATCAAAAAAGAATCAAGCAAGTCTTCTTCTCGAAGAGTCTTAGAAATGCGACAGGCTGAAGCCGCGAACTCTTACCGACGTGATTTCCTGTATCTCATAGCTTTAGAAATCTGCTGCGACGGCTTCTAGGCCCATCACGTTAACGCCAGTCAAATATCTTTCTACTGCCAAGTCTCCTCAAGCGCATCATGGCGCTACGCCTGCATTATCATATTGATGAAATCAGCCTGGACTTGATTTATTTCGGCCGATCCAGGACATGATTCAGTTGGAAGATGCTTCCATGCTGCTTCAATCTCCCGCAGTGATATCAACGTGAACCAGTACTATCCACTCAGTGACACACTCTGCTGTTACATAGCTTAATCGGTATCTAAGCTACCGGGAAACAATCTTTCCCTCCGTGTCGCTGCATTTTCCGAGTCGTCGTTGGACTCTGGAAAAACTCGACTGAAATCCACAAGTTATACAGTAGACGAAGACCACTCTTCTTCTACAGCTACTAGTCTTGATAAAGTCTCAGTGGTGGGAATGTTATTCCGTCCCTTAATCGGCACAGAATTTCTCTATCTAAGCGAGGTAGAACTATTATGATTATGAGGTTATGAATTACTTCTTGAAGTTTAGACTTTGGTATTGTATGGGACAAAATTGATAATAAGGCGCAAATGTGAGGTCTACATGGAATCTAGATGAAAGAGAAAGTGACACACTTTCCGTATCTACATCTACAAGAAAAGTGTTCCTAATACCCTGCGCATGCGCTTCAGCTAATCCTTCGCTGTGCCTTGCTATCCACGCTCAGCTTAGTTGCGATTTTGCAGATAGTCACCGACAGATTCAACATGAAAACGCCATTCTCACCAGCTCATGCGGCGAAGAGAAGTCCCCCAACCACTTTTTCTATTGCCACCTTGGGCAATACCAGGCACAGCTCCACAGAGCACAGAATCCTAGTCCCAGCATATCTTGGGCCCTTGCTTCAGCGGAGGTTGTTAATGCGTTTAATAGCTGGATTTATGTCGCAAATTTCTTTGAAAAAGCACAACGACAAGTCTGACTGTACCGGAGTTACGTTGTAAAATCCAGAGAGCTTCAGAGTGATCCAACCAATTTCCTCTTTTCTTATTTTTATGTTTTGTATTCTTCATTTAGTACCATCTGCAAATTATGAGTCGACCAGAGGCCAGTTTCATGTACAATTTCGACTCCTATACTCCTCGGTTGTAAGACTAGCGCTTACCTATGGATCTCCAGTCTGGGCCAAGACTGGGCCGGCAGGTAACATCCCTTAAAGCATTCTTAAGCGACTCAGAAGTATTCAAGGGATGTTTCTTAAGCTCATGACAGGTGTATACCAACTGGCCAGTAGCAAAATGCTAGACAGCGAGACTTCAACTCTGTCCATAGAGAGCTCCCACTTAAGGGATATCTTCCTTCAAGAATTTACGCTACCCGTTCGGGGCATGGCGACTTCGCTGTGTAATACTCTCATTTTAACCATCCAGATGTGTTAGTATCTTGTAGCTGCGGCCTGGTCAAGGTGCCTGAACATTTCCTGGAATGTACTATATCTAACCGGAGTCTTCCCCCAGTTCCAGATTATTTTAGCAATCCGAAAAAATTCTTCTTAGGCTCCTGGGAGGGGGCTATGAATATTGTCAAATGTTTTGAATGGACAGAATTCTATTCAAAAATCTGCCCCAGAAATCCAGGTTGAATAACTACAAGTAATAATTCTCGGCTCTATCACATTACACGTGACATTCTATCTATAGGAAAGAAGCAGAGTCTAGGACTCAGGCCCCTGGGAGCAAAAGTGTATCATGCAATGTTATTTGTGTAGCGCGGATGCGATATCAGGCGTTGCTTTATATGTATATAAACGGCTCGGCATATCTTGTCAGGGAGTAGCGAGAGCGAGGCTTCGAGGGCTGTAAGTACTGGCGTCTAGGTCTAATACTAAGTAGGCAGCAAGGACCCAAGTTTCGGCTTGGCCCCCCACTGGACGTTGAATTATAAAACAAAACTCTGCCCATAGAGATCTACTTCAACCAAAGGATCCTTTAATGTACCGAACTATCCAGTAATCTACTAGTCCAATAGACAACTTTGTCTGCACGCAGAAAAATCAAATCTCTTGAAGGAAAATCTAAAATAAGTGGTCAAAACAGGGGAGATAACAAAGCAGAATAGACCCTGATCGGCAGCAATATTAGGACTAGGGGAAGACACAAAGTAGCCGGGAAGATCGCCGCGTTCAAGGAGTGGTCAAGTTCCCGGACGAGCCAGAAGAAGCGGCGCTGTGGTCATAGAGTGCAAGCCGATTCTGATAAATAGATAGCTACAAATTTGTACAAGGACAAGAAAACAGACAAACTTATGATTAGCTATAGAGAATCACCCATCCAGATCCACCGGAACCTTGGCAGGGCCTGGAGCGTAATTGCCTCACAAGTAAGAAGCGAGCACATTTGTCTCAATGCTCACTTATACCGAAGAAATTTATCTGGAGTGAGAAAGATACGATACCAATACGGATCTCCGTGCCAAGTCATAAAGCACATGGCGATGTCTTGTCCAAGACGGACAAAGGAAAGAGGCGAGTTGTTAGGATAATCGAACCCCCGATCCCTCGAAACTTTAGTAAATAACTTCAAAAATATGGCTAGAGTTGCACGGTGGATTCCGACAGAAGGGTGGCTAGAGAACTCTCGCATGACTGGAGAAGTCGAGACGTTGATCAGACGAAGAGAGAAATATGGGAACATAGAGTAAGGATGGAATCTACACTGGCACCAATAGTGTGAGTGTAATGCCTAAAGGTAAGATCTTAATGGCGCAGAATCTAAGCAGACAGCCAAGGGGCTTCTACTGCAAGCTTTCCTCCAACATAAATCAGAAAGTTTGATAGACACCTGCATGGTCCCACAGGGTGCCAAATCAGGATAACGAAACTATATTCAAAAATTCCCATATAATTTAACCTTGACGCGCAAGATGAGAAGATTGTTGGAAATCTAGACTTAGTATGAAGATTTAGACTTTTAGGTATGATCATCAAGATCATTTGGATTGATTTGATTGCATATGATTAAGCTTAGCTAGGCAACAGGAGGTTCAGTGGACTCTGAAATGCAGTGACTAAGAAATGCCACCTTGCGATGATTGAGTGGCTGGTTGTTGCTAGATCACTTGGAGTTTGGGATGACTAAAGCCTCGGGACCTGTATTTAAGGATAGACTCATTTGTGTAGGTTAAACTAAGCTAACGGAACATTACATATCTATATTCATACTGAGAAGAGAGTTTGATATCCCATACAACTATCAATAAATTCTTGTCCGAAATTGTACACTTGTTCTTCGACATATTTTCTTCTAGAAATCCTTGACGATCTCTAACAAAGATCCTAGCTTTCATTTCCTATGTTGAGTCTTGTAGGCGCCAACACGGCGGCTAGTTTTATCCAGACTGGGCTAACCGGTACGCGGGCGCGACGCGAAGTAACATAAATATCACAAGAACTGCCAGAAATACAGCTTCTTGCATTTCTTTCCATCGGCAAATGTGGCTGCATGCGTCTTGCCTCTACTTTATTTCTGAGCTCAGAGA